TGAAGGGGAAAGGGGAGAGGAGGGAGGGGGTGGGGAGGGGAAAGGGGGGAGGGGTGTGTGTGAACGGAGGAGGGGGAAGGGAGTGGGGAGGGAGGAGGAGGAAAGGATGTGTGTGAAGGGAGGAGGGAGGGGGAGGGGAAAAGGTGGAGAGTGGGAAGGAGAAAAGGGGGAGGAGGGAGGGGTGTGTGTGAAGGGGAAAGGGGGAAGGAGGGAGGGGAAAGGGGGGAGAGATTGTGTGAAGGGGGGAGGAGGGAGGGGAAAGGTGGGAAGAGTGTGTGAGGGGAAAGGGGAGAGGAGGGAGGGGGTGGGGATGGGGAGGGATGTGTGTGAAGGGGAAAGGGGGAGGGGGTGGGGAGGGATATGTTTGAAAGGGGGAGGAGGGAGGGGGAGGGGTGTGTGTGAAGGGGAAAAGGGGAGGGGGTGGGGAGGGATATGTTTGAAAGGGGGAGGAGGGAGGGGTGTGTGTGAAGGGGAAAGGGGGAGTGGGTGGGGAGGGGTGTGTGTGAAGGGGAAAGGGGAGAGGAGGGAGGGGGTGGGGAGGGGTGTGTGTGAAGGGGAAAGGGGGAGTGGGTGGGGAGGGGTGTGTGTGAAGGGGAAAAGGGGAGGGGGTGGGGAGGGATATGTTTGAAAGGGGGAGGGGGTGGGGAGGGATATGTTTGAAAGGGGGAGGAGGGAGGGGTGTGTGTGAAGGGGAAAAGGGGAGGGGGTGGGGAGGGATATGTTTGAAAGGGGGAGGAGGGAGGGGGGAGGGGTGTGTGTGAAGGGGAAAAGGGGAGGGGGTGGGGAGGGATATGTTTGAAAGGGGGAGGAGGGAGGGGTGTGTGTGAAGGGGAAAGGGGGAGGGGGTGGGGATGGGGAGGGATGTGTGTGAAGGGGAAAGGGGGAGTGGGTGGGGAGGGGTGTGTGAAGGGGGTAGGAGGGAGGGGTGTGTGTGAAGGGGAAAGGGGGAAGGAGGGAGGGGAAAGGGGGGAGGGGTGTGTGTGAAGGGGAAAGGGGAGAGGAGGGAGGGGGTGGGGAGGGATATGTTTGAAAGGGGGAGGGGGTGGGGAGGGATATGTTTGAAAGGGGGAGGAGGGAGGGGTGTGTGTGAAGGGGAAAGGGGGAGGGGGTGGGGAGGGATATGTTTGAAAGGGGGAGGAGGGAGGGGTGTGTGTGAAGGGGAAAGGGGAGAGGAGGGAGGGGGTGGGGAGGGATATGTTTGAAAGGGGGAGGAGGGAGGGGTGTGTGTGAAGGGGAAAGGGGGAGTGGGTGGGGAGGGGTGTGTGTGAACGGAGGAGGGGGAAGGGAGTGGGGAGGGAGGAGGAGGAAAGGATGTGTGTGAAGGGGAAAAGGGGAGGGGGTGGGGAGGGATATGTTTGAAAGGGGGAGGAGGGAGGGGTGTGTGTGAAGGGGAAAGGGGGAAGGAGGGAGGGGAAAGGTGGAGAGTGGGAAGGAGAAAAGGGGGAGGAGGGAGGGGTGTGTGTGAAGGGGGGAGGAGGGAGGGGTGTGTGTGAACGGAGGAGGGGGAAGGGAGTGGGGAGGGAGGAGGAGGAAAGGATGTGTGTGAAGGGGAAAGGGGAGAGGAGGGAGGGGGTGGGGATGGGGAGGGATGTGTGTGAAGGGGAAAAGGGGAGGGGGTGGGGAGGGATATGTTTGAAAGGGGGAGGAGGGAGGGGTGTGTGTGAAGGGGAAAAGGGGAGGGGGTGGGGATGGGGAGGGATGTGTGTGAAGGGGAAAAGGGGAGGGGGTGGGGATGGGGAGGGATGTGTGTGAAGGGAAAGGGGGAGTGGGTGGGGAGGGGTGTGTGTGAAGGGGAAAAGGGGAGGGGGTGGGGATGGGGAGGGATGTGTGTGAAGGGGAAAGGGGGAGTGGGTGGGGAGGGGTGTGTGTGAAGGGGAAAAGGGGAGGGGGTGGGGAGGGATATGTTTGAAAGGGGGAGGAGGGAGGGGAAAGGTGGAGAGTGGGAAGGAGAAAAGGGGGAGGAGGGAGGGGTGTGTGTGAAGGGGAAAAGGGGAGGGGGTGGGGAGGGATATGTTTGAAAGGGGGAGGAGGGAGGGGTGTGTGTGAACGGAGGAGGGGGAAGGGAGTGGGGAGGGAGGAGGAGGAAAGGATGTGTGTGAAGGGGAAAGGGGGAAGGAGGGAGGGGAAAGGTGGAGAGTGGGAAGGAGAAAAGGGGGAAGTATGCTCTTGCATCTCCTGAATCATGAATATCGTATGCTGTATTGCTTTTATAATCAAACCATGTTCAAATATTTGTTCTATTAGATGTATCTTTTTGTGTGAATTTTAATATATGTATTTGTGTATTTATTGATGCACCTGTGTGTGTATGTATGTGTGTGTGCGTATCTGCATAGTTCAGTGCATCACATAGTTTTGTGAAAATTGAGAGAAGACACTCATTTTCTTTCTCTTTCTCTTCGTATCGATTGTTACTACTTCACACTAGTGCTATATATATATATATATATATATATATATATATATATATATATATATATATATATATATATATATAATATTTTTTTTTTTTTTTTTTTTTTTTTTTTTTTTTTTTGCAACAGCCTCCCCGAAAAAAAGTTATTTAATCTATAATCCACTTTTTCCCTAATATTTTTTTAACTTTTTTTTAATTCCAGCTACGAAAAAAAGAACCCTCAATGTGGACTAAAATGAATTATAAACTATTAACACTTCTCTACGTCATCGCTCTGAGTAACAGGGAGTCTGTCGGCCAAAAACCAGGTAATGATAACGAAAAAAAAATCTATGTTGTGTTTTTAGTGATTTTTAAATATATGAATAGGTAAATAGGTAAGAATCATTGAGGTAGGTGAATAAAAATGGGGGGGAAATTATATAAAAACGTGGTATTTGATTTAGTTAAAAAAAGTTTGCTTTTGTAAATAATTCTTATGGATTTTCTTTTTTAAGGAAACGTTATCAGAAATAAATAAGTAAATAACTGTATTAAAGATGCGAATTGAAAATAAAAATTGACAAACAAAAACATTATTTTAAGTTCAATATACAGTGGACAACTTATTAAAAATATCCCCGTTGATTTAAAGAAAATTACACACACACACACACACACACACACACACACACACACACACACACACACACACACATTGTGTATCCGACACTGTAATTATTTGAATTAGAAAGAAATAAATGTTAGATATTTAAATTTTCAGATTTACACGTGTTTTTCTGATTATCCAAAACATGAATATAAAAAATAAGAATAAATGCATTAATTCAGTTAAAAAACAGCCGGCATTATCTTCAGAGAAACCGGATTCGTCTCTGGTCCAAGCCGCCGCCAGAGCAGATTGGGACACCGTCATCCACCTCATAGAAACCGGGACGGATCCAAACGAGAGTAATAATGCAGGTAAGACTATGATAAAAAAATCACAAATAAAGGTTAAAAGTAAAACCACCAGTTTCTCATTGTGGCTCTTTTGCTAATCATAATGATAAATGTACAATCCCCCGCAGTTCCAACTGGCACAATGTATGATGCATGACCGGTATTTTTTCTTGCAATACATGCATAGTATTTTGTGCAGTGAATACTCTTGTTTGTAACGAAGCCTGTGATTGGCTCGAGATATTTCGCAAATATTTTCAGTGACAACTAATGTCACCTATCAAAATTGTAGTAAAAAGAAACATTGCCGTGTTTTGCAGAGGAGAACAATAGGTCATAAATTTCAAACATGTCACCAGAGATAGCAGATTGTTTATTAAGCATATCCCAAGTCGATATTCATGTTTCCAAAAATGTTACAACTAAAAACTTCAAATCTCATGTATTCACTACTTCGTATATCTTGAGGGAAAAGTTAAACAACCTTTGTCTAACTTTTCCAGTCTGGTCACTGATTTCCCTCTTTAATGTGTATATTTGGTATGAGACAAGTTGATATTAACCCGTGATTGCTGTTTGTGATTCAATCTCCTGTATATTGATGAATGCTCTTTAGTATAAAAAAAATTGGTTTAGTGGATTTTGAATATCAGTTGAAAGGTATTTGAAAACAATATTTACTTTGTTTAAAGCAAAAAATATGAAAAGTTCAATAGATGTAATTCTATTTAGTATCTGCTCCATCCACCCTGCCTCTCACTTGCACCACCTATCACCCGACTGCCGTATTCCCGAAACCGTGACAAGCCGTGACAAGCCGTGACATGCCCGGATCCCTACCCATTCTCCGTATTTCCTTACCCATAATCCGGCCGCCGTATTTTTTTCCTAGCTGACTACCCCTTCTCTTAAAATGTTCAGTACAGTTACAGGTGCAAAAGGGCTTTACCTTCAGAGGGTAATAGCGTGTCTAGGATCAGAAGACGTCGGACACAGTTGCTGTAGTTGTTTCTGAGATTGTAATGATTAAATTGAGTTAATGTTCCCGTAATAACGTGAAAGAAATCGGAAGCACAAGCAGCACTCTTTAAAATCTTCGTTTCCGATAGGCGCAACGAGCAGAACTGTCATATGTGCAACCGTCTCCTGGCAATTTCAACAAGTAATTCTATTGAATACAGTATATGCATAATAATGTTTAACGCGTGACATATACCTGGGATGTAGATCTCACAAATACGATAAAAGCTGAAAGAGAGAAATACACGAAAAGTGCAACGCCCTTTTTAAGAGAAGTATAGTAACTAGTCGTTACTAAACTTACATGCTCCAAGGTAGTTTGTAAAGGACTGCCACTTAGTCAAATAGTTCAGGCAAGGCAAGTAAAAATGTCACGATATATTTCGTTATCTAGTTTCTCTATGCTTGTATAGTTTTTACTTCTTCTATGATTATATCCTGAAATTGCGTCATTATGCAAATATATACCGATATGATTCTATTGCAAAATACATATCTTCCTCTGTGATAAACATTACGTCATTATACCAAACAGGTACGACTGCACTGACTTGGGCTGCGCATCACGGCCAGCTGGAGGTCTGCAAATTGCTGCTGAAACACGGGGCTAACATCGACCATAAGAATAACCATGGTATGAAGATAGATCGATTGGCCGGTAGATAGATGGACGAAAGAGAGATGGGGGGAGAAGTGGGAGAGAGAGAGAGAGAGAGAGAGAGAGAGAGAGAGAGAGAGAGAGAGAGAGAGAGAGAGAGAGAGAGAGAGAGAGAGAGAGAGAGAGAGAGAGAGAGAGAGAGAGAGAGAGAGAGAGAGAGAGAGACCCGCAGGCACAATTATAGAGAGAATCAGACAGACAGATACAGAGAGAAAATGAAAGAGAGACACAGATACAATGACAGAAAGAAACAGAAAATGAGATAAACAGAGACAAACAAACAGACAAAAATAGAAAGAAAGAACAAAACATAGATAGAAACAAAGACAACTTTACAGAAAATGAGAGAGAAAGAAAATAATGCACTTTCTTTTACTAACTACCACTGAAGCATTCTAACACCCCCCCCCCCCTTGCCTTACACCTTATCGTCACAGGTTCCTCAGCTTTGTCCTTTGCTGCCAGACGGGGTTACGCGGAACTCACCAAAATGCTCCTTGACGCGGGCGCAGACGTCAATATTACGACGAACAGTGGTACGTAAATATATGTATGTGTATGTGTGTGTGTGTGTGTGTGTGTGTGTGTGTGTGTGTGTGTGTGTGTGTGTGTGTGTGTGTGTGTGTGTGTGTGTGTGTGTGAGTGTGTGTGTGTGTTAGTGTTTGTGTGTGTGTGTGTGTGTGTGTGTGTGTGTGTGTGTGTGTGTGTGTGTGTGTGTGTGTGTGTGTGTGTGTGTGTGTGTGTGTGTAAAAGAGAGAGAGGGAAAGAGAGAAGTATGGTAGTGATAGTAATGATAATAGGAGAGATAGATAGACAGATAGATAGATAGAGAGAGAGAGAGAGAGAGGAGCATACTACTACTACTAATAATAATATCAATCACCATAACAGAGTTGGAGTAGTAGCAATCAAAAGGGTAAAGATGAAATGTGAAACAGAAGAAAAGTTTCATTATTAAGAAGGTAAATCAATTAAACGCTTCGAAAACACCGATGAGCCGCAAGGAACTTTGACTTATATCCTGCCTCACATACCAATTTTCTGAATACACAGAAGCCAATAACACCTGACCATTTTTCTTTTCTTAAATACGTTACTTGCTAAATTAAACTGACATTTTTCTCCCTTAAAAAGATGGCTTGCCAAATAAAACTGACCTTTTTATTTCTTCCTTAAAGAGGTGACTCGCCAAATATAACTGATCTTTTTTCTCCCTTAAAAAGGTGACTTGCCAAATAAAACTGACCTTTTTTTCTCCCTTAAACAGGTGACTCGCCAAATATAACTGACTTTTTTCCTCCCTTAAAGTGATTACTTGCCAAAACTGATCTCTTTTCTCAATTTCTTTCTCTCTTAAAGGGGTGACTTGCCAAATATAACTGACCTTTTTTTCTTCTTTAAATAGGTGACTCGCCGCTGACCTGGGCTGTCTACAGAAATCATTCCCAAGTCACTGCCATGCTGGTCGCCGCCGGTGCCGACATAAACCATGCTAACAATGAAGGTGAGGAACGTCCATTGTTAGAGTTGGAGTTTACGAGTTTATGTTGTATGAAAGTATGTTGCATGTTAAGAAAAATGAGACAAAGCAAGAAGAAGACGAAAATAGGAAGCAGGAAATAATGAATTGTGTTGTTTTGAATCCGCCATTTTTTTCACCTCGGGCGAAGCTTGTGAAAGAAACGGAGACTCGTTTTATCTGAAAAGGATTGTTGATGGAATAGCGGATGAAAGAATTAGATAACACGTGAATATTCCGAAGGTTTTTGTTTTCCTTTGTTGTTTCTAAAGGGCATGAAGAAGCAATATACCGAAAGGGCCTTCGGTATTTTCATGTATTTTCTTGTTCTTTTCCCTTTGTCGTTGTTTTGTTTTCTTCAGCGCGAATCTTGTTCATTTAAATAGGAGTTCTTGGTGGACTCGAAACGTTACAATTTATTATTTCTTTTATCTTTGCCTTCATTTTCTTTATTGTTATTTTCATTTTTGGTCTAAGTTCGAATGTTATTGTATGTATTTTTGTTCATGTTGCTTTTAGTGGCGGGAAATATTTATTTGAATATTTATGTTAATATTTCTGAGGCATTTTCAGTCCTTTGTGGAGCGAAGGGTTGCACTCTTAGGTTATTTAGTAATGCACTGGGCTAAAGATGGTATACCTACGCTTGTATGTGAACCTTTATAGGAAATTGTACTCATTCATGCTTCCATCATGTCAAAAAGCTAACAAATCATATGGATAAAAATAGGTGGTTGTAAGTGGACGAGTCTTTATTTACCCCTTTATCTATTATATCGAGGCGAAAATGTACTCGTGAGAAGTTAGTGATTATTGACTTAACCCATTGGTGTCGCGTATGACGTGTACGTACGTGCTATGCCCACCGTGAGTACTTGTTTGATTGTTTCTTTGATTTACAAAATATTTTACGTTATCTTATTTTGCTGTTACTAATGTTGAAAAACATTATAAAAATTATAATGTTTATGATGAAAATAACACCATCGATTTTCATAGCACTAGTGAAAAATACGTTTTTCCCGCCATTTCAAATCAGGCGCTAGCAGAGCCATCTATCGGCAGACATTTTACGAAAAACATAGAAAGTGGGCACAGCATTTTCTCCATTTTTTGTTCATTTTTCCCGGCACCATTGGGTTAATACCACGTGTTTCCTAATTGTTCATACTGTTACCATCCTGCCAAGTGTATCTTCGTTTCGATAAAAAAGGATAGTAGTTTTATATTAAAGTTTTATATCATAGTGGGTTTTATATTAAAGAGTAAGAAAAAACAACAGCCTATGAGCAAAGATAAGAAGTCCGTGAATCTATATTGTATTTCACGAGTTTAACTTTGATTACATCGCATAAAAAAAATCAAACTAACATACCAACTCAACCATGTATTCAGTCCTATAGATACAAGTTGCCTCATGCCAGTTACAATTCATATTCAAGCGCGATCCTATAACAATTTTTAATTCATATAACAGCATTTTACAAGTGCAAATTCACTTACAGACACGATCTTATAAGAAAATTGAATATATATAACTGCTGTACTCATTTGCCAATTCAAATCCACATACAAGTACAATCCTTTAACAAATTTGAATATATATTAACTGCCTTATGCCAATTCCACTTCATATACGGATACAATCCAGTAACAAATTTTAATATATATATATGTGTGTGTGTGTGTGTGTGTGTGTGTGTGTGTGTGTGTGTGCTATACATAACTGCTTTATGCCAACTTACATCCACATACAAGTACAATCCTATAATAAATCTGAATATATTTTCAACCCCTCTCCCTTCCTCTTCTCTTGTCCCTCATTCCCCCTCCCCCCCCTCCCCCCAGGCCTGACAGCGCTGTCCCTGGCGGCGTCTCACGGCTTCGTGAACATCACCCGCCTGCTGCTCCGAGCCAAGGCCAGCACGGACGTCGTCGACACAGCGAGTAAGGACCAGGAGGAGGTTTGCACTCTCTGAGTGCTTTTCTAGTTTATTATTTTTTACTCACAATTTATTTATTATTATTATCATTATTATTATTTTTTTTAGGATATCTAAAAATGTATATATTTCTTATTTTCTTTTTATTTTAAGGATATTTTGAAACGTTATAGTTATAAGGATTTTTAGGAATTAGTTTTCATAATTTTATGTGTTTTTTTCTGAAGGATTTTTAAGGATTATTTTTTAAAATTATTTTATGATTCTCAGAATAATTTTTTTGAAAAAAATATTTTTAAATGATTTATTGAGGATTAATTATTAAAAATGATTTGGTGGATTTTAAAGGATATATATTATTTATCGTTTATTTTTTAAAAATATTGGTTGATTTCCAAATATTTCGTAATGTATATTTTATCTGTCTATAATTAAGTGTCTTATCTTATATATATAATGTATTTCATTTTCTGTGTTTTATTTATGGCTTAACCCATTCGCCGCGGATGGCAAGAATAGATGCCATACCCACTTTGATACACGTTTATTTATTGTATTTACACATAGATGGCTCTACAAGTTCTTAATCACCAAATAGCCAGTTATCAAGAACTACTTATTTCACCTGTTTAGCCTTTTCCTTCACTTTCGGAAAGGGTTTTTTGTATCATCTTATTGTCAAAAATATTCTAATGACAATTCAATCATCATAACATCAGTAACAATAATAACAGCATCGAAAGCAATGATATTAATTTTCCCGCCAATTCAATGAATGGGAAAATCAGGGTCGGTAACTAGGGCCTACTGATAGACTCCTTGCCGGCTGAGTACATGTGGAGCCATCTGTAGGTAGCAAAATTCACCAAAACCAACAGGGGACAGAACATAAATCCGTGGCCAATGGGTTAATCTACAGTGAAATAATTATCTCATTTTAGGAAATATGTCATTAATAGGATTGTCATGTATTTAATGATTTACTTAAATAGCCGTATCATTAATCTATTACCCTAGAATGTATTCACATTTCACTCATTATTTGATCCTCGTGTCTAGAATGTATTCACATTTCACTTATTTATTGATCCTTGTGTCTAGAATGTATTCACATTTCACTCATTCTATTATCCTCGTGTCTAGGATGTATTCACATTTCACTATTTCTATTATCCTCGTGTCTAGAATGTATTCACATTTCACTCATTCTATTTATTATCCTCGCGTCTAGAATGTATTCACATTTCACTCACATATTGATCTCGTGTCTAGAATGTATTCACATTTCACTTTTTTATTGTTCCTCGTGTCTAGAATGTATACACATTTCACTCATTTATTGATCCTCGTGTCTAGAATGTATTCACATTTCACTCTTTTATTATCTGTTTTATAAGGCGTTCATTAGAGTTTGTTTTTTGTAATTGTTATGTATCAATCAGCTGATTATTAGGTCGTTTGTTCAATACTTGATTAGGTTTCTGAACCTTTTCATTATTTGCTTGTATTGCATTTGTATGATTATTATTTGTTTTATTAGTTGTTATAGTGAATTCGTTATACGATTATTTTCATAGCTGATCGTTCACTTTTATTTTGTTTTATTTCGTGATTTTTCCTGTAGCTTGTTTATAAATAATTGAATTATTTATTTCATCTTTCAATTATTTTATTTTATTTTACTTCTGTGTGAGTGTTTTTTTTATAATTTGTATTATTTGTCAGTTTGTTCTTTTCTTCTGAAACATTAGTAATGTTATTATCTGATTTGTCAAAATTTTACGATTTGTGTCCGTTATTCGTTTCATTTATTTTATTAGTATTATCGTTATCAATATCATCATGTTATTATTAGTGCCATTATTATTATTTATCTTTATCTCTCTCTCTCTCTTTCTCTCTCTCTATCTCTATCTATCTATCTATTTACTCTTTCATTCATCTATTTATCTATTTCCAGACCGCTCTCCGCTGTACCTGGCGACGGAGAGTAACTACACAGAGGTGGTCTCCCTTCTGCTGTATCGGTGCCCTAATCTCCTGCTTATGGATAACTTGCGTGAGTGTCAGATGCGTGGAGGGAAGGTAGAGGGAAGGAGGGAGGGGTGGGATGGGGAGGGGGGGGATGGGGAGGAGGGTGGGAGGGAAGGGGAGGGAAGGAGGGAGGGAGGGAGGAAGGGAGGGAGGGTGGGGAAGGGAGGGAAGGAGGGAGGGGTGGGATGGGGAGGGGAGGGGAGGAGGGAGGGGTGGGAAGGAGGAAGGGAGGGAGGGAGGGTGGGTGGGGAAGGTGGGAGGGAAGGGGAGGGAAGGAGGGAGGGGTGGATGAGAGAAGGAGGGAGGGAAGGGGAGGGAAGGAGGGAGGGGTGGATGAGAGAAGGAGGGAGGGAGGGTGAAAGGTGGATAGGTAGGAAAGTGGGAGGAAGGGAGAGAGGGAGGGAGGGTGGGGAAGATGGGAGAGAGGGAGGGAGGGGGGAAGGTGGGAAGGTAAGGGGTTGGGTGGGTAATGGGATAGGATGGATAGCTGGATAAGAAGGATGGATGGGTGAGGGAGAGGGAGAGAAGGATGGTTGGAGGGATGGAGGGAAGGAAGGAGCGGATGAGAGAGAGAGAGAGGGAGAGGGAAAGAAAGAGAGAGAGAGGGAGAGAGAGAGAGAGAGAGAGAGAGGGAAAGAAAGAGAGAGAGAGGGAGAGAGAGAGAGAGGGGGGGGAGAGGGAAAGAGAGAGAGAGAGAGGGAGAGGGAAAGAAAGAGAGAGAGAGGGAGAGAGAGAGAGAGAGAGGGAGAGGGAAAGAAAGAGAGAGAGAGGGAGAGAGAGAGAGAGAGGGGGGAGAGGGAAAGAGAGAGAGAGAGAGGGAGAGGGAAAGAAAGAGAGAGAGAGGGAGAGAGAGAGAGACAGGGGGGGAGAGGGAAAGAGAGAGAGAGAGAGAGAGAGAGAGAGAGAAAGAAAGAAAGAAAGATAGAGAGAAGAAAAAGATTATAGAAGATTGAATGAGGCAACGCGAGTATTATCAGTGAAGCGTTTCAAAATCGCTCTAAATCAAATTTATCCAATACGTTCCCCTCCAAACTAGGTTATTTCCGGAAAGAGAACTAATCCTTTACCCCCCCACCCCCCACCCCCCACCCCCCACCAGACAGAACGGCGCTGGACGTGGCAGACATCGAAGGCTTCACTCGCATTTCCGAACTCATAAAAGGTCTGTGTCACGAACCTCCAAAACCATCGTATTCTTGTTGTTTGAACATTGCTTAGAAGAAACATATTACACATTTTGCCTGTTCTTATTCCATGCGCAAAAAAAAAAAATAAATAATGTTGGCATATCACCTATTCTTTACATATTTTACCGGTTTTTTCCCCACAAATTAAAAAGAAAAAAAAAAGAAAAAAATCTACATACAGCCAATTCTTTTCCCACTTCGTCTCTATGTAAAAACGACTTCCAACTAAACGTCCCTTTTTTCAACGGTTTTCTCCTCCAGCCCACCAGGATCAAAAGTGCGTCCTGGGCAATCACAAGTATTCCCACAAGGACGTCGTCACACGTGGCTGTTACATCATGGAGTGTCACTGCAGCGGGGACTGGATGGTGAAGCCACGCCCACATCCTGACTGCGGTGAGAGTCGTGTGCAGTCGCGGACAAAAAAAAAAGAAAAGAAAAGAAAAAAAAAAAAAAAAACTTGCCAAACGCGTCTCTCGAATGCGTCTCTCGATTTTTTTCTATAATCATAATTGTTTAGTTACTTAATTTATTTATTATTATGATTATTTTTTGAGGGGGAGCTTCGAAGCTTTGTAAATCCAGATTTGTAAGGAAGGGCTGAGTAGAGTATATTAAGAGAGATATTTTCCCAGTTTTTCTTTATGTGGTTTAATGAAAGCAACTAGGTAAGGGCATCTTGTATGATACGATGCGAAATAACAAAGAGAGAGGGAGAGGGAGAAGGAGAGAGAGACGAAAGGAGAGGGAGAGGAAAGGAGAGGGAGAGGGAGAGGAAAGG